AATAATCGAGATCTCAATTTCAGTGAAAATAATCGTGATTATCATTTTTGCCATAATCAAGCAGCCCTACTGGACACCACCCTAAATGCAGAGTTGTTCATATGCAAAACAAGGGAGACTCCTATTTGGTGTCCTATCTCAGGTGCTGCAGAGAGTCTGGTCCTAAATTCAACACTATAAAAACAGACTTGGTTAAAAATAGCACCTCAGTAAGATTTAAATATTTTGAGCAAGAATAATTGGCAAAGCGTGTCTTCTTTTTAGAACTGAAACTTGGCGTGTATGAGCCAGGGTTAAGTCTTTGGGCAGTGCGGTGACAGGAAGTCCTTGCAGACTTGGGTTATACATCATAGAAGCTATAGACTAACTTTATTTGTATTCTGTTAGCAGTGTGTCCCCCTGTTGCCAGCTGCCCTAGAAATTTTCAGTGACAGTGAAAGGAAGCTGTCAATGCACCAACTCTTTGGAGGTTTTATACCTTTTCAGAGCCTACCATAAAAGTCATAAGAGTTTCTGGGGAGTAATAATTGTATACACAAGGTCCTGGAGAGGGCATGGGCCAGCAGATAGTTTGAAAAGTCCTGGTCTCTGTATTTAGCCCCACATGAATCAGACTTTTCTGCCTCTCAGCTCTTTTTGTGTAGAATGAGTCTACTGAGACGATTTTTTTCCTCTTTGTTGCCAGATTGAGGCCGAGTGTCAAGAGGGCTGTTTAGGTGTGTGTATTTGGCTCTGTGTATGAGGGTTATATCGTGGGGGCAGTGCTTGTGCATCCTCTGCCCAAGTTTGTGTGTGCGAGTTATCAAGGGAGCTCTCCAAGCTTGAATAAGCCTTTTGTCTACCTTGGCTGCTCTCTACTCTGAGCCGGGTGTCCTCCAGGATGCTGTCTGTCTGCTCTGTTTGAATCACTGATAAAGGCTCATCTCTCCCTCAGCACCCTGTCACTTTATCCCCTGTTTCACTCTTTCAATCATTTCCCTGTCATCTGCAGCTGTTCTCTCCAGATGTTTTTGCTTTATTTCAGTTTTTATGCTCTTGCAAAACTCTCTTCCCTTTGTCATCTTGTTATCTCCTCATTCACTCTGTTTTCCATCCTTCTTCCCGTCCCCTTTTCCCTCCCTTCTGCTTTTCCTCTGCCCTCCTTCCTGTTAATCTTCCTCTTTCCCCCTGGTGTCATGAACACCCCACAATGTATTTTGCTCTCTTCGACCCCCTCTGCACTTAGTCTACTGTGATGGAGACATCAAGTCTTTCTGATGATAACATTAAAGAAGAAGCTGGGACAGAAAACAGATTAACCCTCTATAAAACTGCACCATGTTGTAAAGTCAGAGAATGATTTTTGACTAATAGTTGATTTTGATATTAGGCTTAGAAATAAAACAACATTGCACACAAAGGAACCCAGAGCAACACAAATTAAACATAAATGTTAAGACATGCTTCTATAATGAGGCAGAAAGTGGATTAGTCACATCCGGGCAATTCTTAATCCATTAAATAAGATTGGCATTGGTTTTGATATCAATCTGGCAGATTTTGATGTCTATCAGAAATCCTTTTAGAAACTTACTTAGAATGAAGGGCTGATATTAACAGTAAAGGCTGAACTATGGTGTTGTGTGTTGCAGCCATCATTGAGAACATGGCAGAGTTCAGACCAGGCATGTGCACAGAGGCTGCCCAGCAGGGACTCATGCAGTGGCTGCTCAAGAGAATCAAGGTAAGAACAGGAATATTGTTTTAAGTTGCCCCAAGAAGGGTATGTGATTGGTTTGTCAGGTTGTTAGCAGGATTTGATTCATTTTTTTTTTTTACATTTTTTCCACCAGAAGGCCAACTTAGAAGTTTGTAACAGTGGAATCAATCTGGATTAATACATTTCTTTTTAATGATTATTTGTTGTTGCAAGATATTGAGCCTTTACAAATACATATCACATTAAATATCATCATCATGTTCTTAAGCAAATATCAAAAACAGTTTTCAGCATCCTTCTTGATTTTTAGACCCAAGCTAAAACAAAATATTTTGAGGATTAAAATATGTCGTGACGTCTGTGTTATGGAGTTTATTTACCAGTATTTTGATGTTGAGTTAGCATTTGCCTTTAGTTCCCTTCACTTTAAGACCTTCACGTAGTGTTAAGCTATCTTGCTCCTAAAGGTGTTTGAATCAATTCTCATAGAAATTGTTGCGGGTGTAGAGTGAGCTCATGTTAACAATCTGTTAAAATTAGGCTTAGATCCACCAAGGTCTTCGAGGTCAACTTAATTATTTGTTGGAGTGTGGTGTGTATTGTGAAGACACAGAAAG